ATTTTTATTTCTATCTTAACAAAGTATGATTGGAAAATGATTCTCCCGCTCCTAGATAAATTAGATATTAAAAGATTTTTATATGACTATATCATTGGTATAGCCATTAATATGTGTGATACGTATGTATCATTAAATTTATAGGCTCAAAAATATATATGACAATATAATTTTTGTAGGATTTTTTTTCTTCACTGAGGGGAGAAGCTTTAGCCCCAAGATATAATATGAGTGGTCAGTGGTTCTGTATTGGTGATGGTTATGGTAACAATTGTGGCAGTGATGACAACCACTGCATTAGTCATAATAACAACATTATTAACAATAACTACTGCACAACAGCAATACTAATATGAATGTGTAAGACAATTTTAATGGCTGCACCAAACATGAGTTAAAACAGAACTATTTGGTTTCTTAATAAGGTATGATTAAAAAATGATTTTCCCGCTTGTAGATAAATTAGATATTATAAGATCTTATGTGACTTTATTACTAGTATAACAAGCAATATTGATGTGAAACATCTATTGGCGCGCTTGGGGGGTTGACCTACGCGATAAAGCGACCCGTGCGATGGCACGATCTCCGGTTTAATTCGGCTCGGCTTAGCTCGGCTCTTTGTCTCTTTTTCCACGCACTTACTGCCGCCCCTCTCCCGTTTGTAACTTGTACTACCCGTATATATAGCTATGTAGAAAAGTATATATTATGTAAATATCGTATGAATATTATACGTATAGTATATACATACGCACACACATATATTATATATTATATATGTGTACAAAAAAATTTCAAATTTTCCGGACTCCGAGAATCGAACCCAAAATGTATGGATTGGTAATCAGAGACCTTATTGATTGTGCTACGCAGTATGCCGATCTGATTTCTGTTCTTAATACTTATGGATACCAACCGAAAAACTTCTGAATTAGAAAATTAATCTATAATAGGGTGTTTTTTTACACTATATATAATTGAGCCTGCCGATTTCAAAAGAAATAGTAATGATTATTTTTGAGTGGTCGATCAAAATTATGGATATCAAAATTATGGAAAATTGTGTTTCAAAGTTCGTTTTGCTTATATCTTTAAACGGTTTGATATACAAAAAAAATAAAAATACTCTGGTACTCGGGTGTGGATGAAACATACAATCTTCTGACAATTATTTTGTTGATAGTGTCATTTTGACAACTCATAATGAGTATATTTTATATTCAAATAGTGAAGTTTTAAGTAAAATGCCTAGTATTTCTGTAACATATTATATTATGGATTATGCTACTTACTAAGGTATAGACCAACAGATGAAAACATACATTTAAATTTCCCAGTAGAAATTTTGAATAATATAAATTACGCTGTGTCTATTCGCACCTTATATCCACGTATACGCATGCGCCTTGCTCGCTTCGCTCAGTCGGAAAAAAAAAACTTGGATCCTATAAGTACTGGACAGTAGAGTTTCCTACTGCGCATGCGTATCCACTTTATCCACGTAATTACGTGGACATACGGTGCGAATAGACACTACGTATAAATAAAAGGCTTTCACCTCATGAACTAAAAACTACGTATCAATAAACTTTTTAAATACAACATTAAAGTAGAAATAATGACAGGAGAGGAAATAAGAGACTTAATTTTCATACTAAGAATAACTTTGAATACAGAAAATTCTTTTTCACTACCATTTATAATTTATAATATAATTTATAATTCACCGAAAACAATTTCTTTTGGTACCCGCATTTTCCATAACACTTGATAAGGCTCAGGGTCAAAGTCCTAATAATGTTGGGATGTATTTAAAAAAAAATCATTTTTAACATATAGTCAAGCGTATGCATCTTTATAAATAGTTTAAAATCCAAATAATGTTTTCATATAGAATAAATCAAACAACAAATTTGAATTTTAAAATGTAGTTTGGAAAAAAATATTTAGTTTATTAACAAATTATCGTAAATTTAGCCCATACTGTAAATGTAAATCGCATTAAACCGTTATATTCTTTAAATACCGATTTTTTAGTTAAATTTATGAACTGGTCCAATTGAAAAGCCTTAAATGCCTATATTAGAGAAAAAAATATATTCTCTGACTATTTTTTTCTTACCAACAGAAAGTTATTGTAAAAATTATCTAATTCATCAAACGTTTATTGCATTATAAGAGTTATCCATACAATCAAAAAATATTGTAACATATAATAATAATAATTTTTATTGACAAAATAACTTCATATTTTATGGTAGTATAAGCAATCAATATAAAAGTTAAAGGACTTTTTTTTCAATTATGTTCGAATTACTTCAGAATTATCTAAATTGGCAAAGCTTAACACACCTCTTTTCATAACTACATATAAGATTTGTGAAACTATCAAAAATAATTTATAAAGTACACTTCGTACTAAGGGTGCTGAGTTTGAGTTTTTGCGATCGAAGAAGGTGATTGTCGAACAATTGTGTGCGTGTTGATAATATTTTTTGTTTAAAGTGTGCAAAGTGCTGTGCGTTTACAAAATACTTTGCTCCTTGGGTAACGAATTAACTTTGGGCTTTAAGATCCAGAATATTCCTTCCCATCAGTGGCGCAAAGTGTGTTGTAAGGAAAAAAGCCGTGCCTAAGAGATAAGAAGTTTGTATTTAGTAAAAAAATAACATTGCTAACAATTTTCGAAATTGAGTAGCATTCTTTACGAAAGCCCTTCGTTTAAACTGGATATTTGAAGACTATGTTAAGTAATTTTTTAAATAAATCTTATATGAGACTGTTTATGTAGATTATTTATTTTAATTTTAAATGTCTATTTAAATATCACTGCATTTTTAGTATGTTTAGTGACTCTAGAATCTCCTTCATTATTATTGTTGGTTTGTGCTTAAGTAACAAATAAAAAACATATGTATTTACCATAAACAAATACATGCATAAATGTATGTGTGTGTATTTGTATACAAATATATGGGCTTGTCCACTGAGAGCGGGCCACCTTGCGCGCTACGAATTTTTTTTTGCCCCAACACGCTGTGTTCAGCTAGCTCATAATGGCTGGGAGATGGCTAAAAAATAATAAAAAAATTCAAATCAAGATATTTTGATCTGCTTTTTTTAACAGTGATATTTTTTTTTTTTAAACCTTTCTTTTTGTGAAGAAAAATGAGTCAGAAGCTCAGGACTTTTCTATTAAATTTGCCATGGTCTGAAAAAATAAAATTTGTAGGAATTGAAAGAGCAATGCTAAGACATGAACTCCACAAATTTTTAAAATGGGAGAGCAACAAATGCGTTAATTACAAACAAATAAAGACGATGGCATGAGCAAGTCGCACTGCATCGAGGTGTGCAGTTGTCGCCTGTGCCTCGCTGCCACGCGGTGGCACGCTGTTACTAACGATTTTGTTGTATACTGCCGCCTCGCCACCGTATAACTTGTTCATGCCATCGTCTTCATTTGTTTGTAATTTAAGCATTTTTCGCTCTCCCACTCTAAAAATTTGTGGAGTTAATGTTTTGGCATTGCTCTTTCGATTCCTGCAAATTACATTATATGTAACCGTGGCGAATTTCAGAGAAACGTCCTGAACTTCTGACTTATTTTTCTCCACGAAAAAGAGGTTTTAAGAATGAATAAATAGCACTATCAAAAAGAGCAGATCAAAATCTGTCGATTTGTATTTTTTAATTATTTTTTTTACTATCTCCTAGCAATCATGAGCGAGCTGAACACAGCATGTTCGGGTGAAAAAGTCCCGCGCGCGTAAGGTGGCCCACTCTCAGTGGACAAGTCCATATACGAAGCATACTTTGCATTTTTTTCGTTAAAATCAAATGGAGTTGTTTATCAATTTAAATTTTTTAAATAGCCTAAAGTATACTAGAATTGTACGTTAATATTAAAAAAATTCCTCGTCCACGGCTGTAACAAAAGTCTTGATTATAAATTGTATCATAGTATTATTAGAAAGTTGACCATGAATACGAAAGATTCACATATTTTTTTATTATTTCAGGAGCAAACATTCAAATTAGTAAAAGCTACCAATAACAACGGAAATAAGGTAGTAAAACTTATGCTGAGAACAGTGAATCTATGAAGAGATGTTATAAAAACAGAAAAACTGATTTCCGCATTAATAATTGAATTATTACCTTATGTATTGAGCTACAATAGGTTATTTTTAAATATCATATTAATACTACAATTATATTTATGTATGTAAATGTATACATAATATGTTTAAAAATTTATGATTTTGACTGAATAATTCTGATTAGTTAGTTCGATAAAGATAGCAAAATGCCATGAATTGCCAACTAGGTAATTGTTATTACTAAATCGCGTAAATCACGTTCAGGTTTGTCTTGTATTTAAAACAATGTTAAACATGTACCTGCCCACACTCAGTAGTATATACAAAAAGAAACAGTATAATCATTATCATTCTAACGTGAATGTTTCAAACTTTGTATTGGGGAGTCATAATATTGATAGAATTATCATAATTTTAGTCATTTTTTTAAAAACTTGATATTATATTTGAACGTCTATCGATGCCTCGAAAAAAATATGTCAGTTCAGGTTCCGACAAAAAAAAAGTTGCTTCGCCCAGATGCATAAGTGCCCCTTCTCTCATGCCTGTAAGAGTGAGCTGGCCTCCAAAATTCTCCGTTATTTTCCTTCTTCCGTCTTCTCTTATGCTCTTTTTGTCTTCTAGGAGAGTGGTTCTAACGAACCTGTCCCATGCAGGTAGGTTAGTTTTTAGTCGGTAGGCACACTGGATGAATCCGATACTACCACCAGATTAGCTGAGGTGTCTATGAAGATTTTTCCCTCCTCGCTCCATCAAACAAAAGAAAAAACAGAAAAAAAGTCAGTCTAGAGCATCGCACGAAAACGATGCCATCTTCTTGACTTTGGATAAAAATAATGTCAGCCCTTCGTGTTTAGATTAAAACTATGCCATCACATCGCGTTCGGACATTAATGATGCCAGACCATCGTAATTTAGACGAAAAGGATCCCAGACCACCGTGCTTGGTGAGTAAACATTGGTGATTACCAACCAAACTACTGAATAGTATTATTTATTATTAATACGTGCCCTAAGGCAAGTAACTATCGGCGATTAGCAATCCAGTTAATTTTAAGCATCAGTGGTAAGCAACGCCATTGTGTTTTAGTGTACTTAGTTATCAAATCATACATTCGGGTGATTAAGTAACATTCAACAGCAGCTCAACTGCTTATTAATATTGTTAATTAATAACATACACCCTTGGGTGAATTAACGTTGGCAAATAGCAGCTCAAGTTTATAAGCATCTTTAATGCGTAAATTGACTATTACAATAGCAAGCATCTATGTTAAGTAACTTAATACTTATTTAGCATTGTTTTTTTTAAGAAAATAACTTTTGGGTTGCTAACTGCCAATGCTTGCTCATCCAAGGATAAATTTTGCTAAGTTACTTTACCAAAAAACAGTTGATAGACAGAATTATCAGAAGCGGTAACTTACTTTACCAAAATAAACAATGCATAAAGTTTATTAAATATTTTAATAAAGAAATTTAACAATTTTTTTCTTTTTTTATGAGAATTTCAACATCAGAAGTCAGTTTTTTTGTTTATCTTTGGCAATCTAATTTACGTTATCGTACGTACGAAGCTTTTAATTTAATACTGCTTCTCGAGGTGAGTTGTATTTATTTTCAGCAATAAAGTGTAAGTAGTTGAATAACGCGTTCTCTACGCTCATTGGTGGAAAATCCAATATAAAAGGTCGCTTGTTTCAAGCCTCCTGATTGGCTGATCAGTTGGCTGGCTGCAGAGCCCACCCTATGTATTTTTTACACCATGCATCGAAAGTTGGAACAGTAAAAATGAACAGTATCCTGACGGAGCTGTATGCGCAACTCTCTTAAAGTAAAATTACTTGGTAAAATTATGAATACTATAAATTTTAAAATGTGGCCTATTAGAGTTTATACAAAAAAAGACTTCTAGCTAGTTAACTAAATCTATTAAATAATTACCTATTTTATCACAAAAAGTGTATGGCTATTTCTGTTTCCATATTTCTTACTTTGTGTTATGCGTAAGTGTTAAATTATTTCTGAAATGCCCTTGATAATGAGCTGTAAAGTTAAGCAAACTCAAATTTTGATAAATGTGTAAGTAACTTGCATGTCGCCTTTAGGATTTTCATACGTATCAGATAATTGTTTATGGTTGAAATGACGTAGTTATTTTCTAACTCATTTGAAATAATATGTGTAATTCGATAATGTTTAAAAAAAGATACTAGTAAAATGGTCTTAAAAAGAGGGAGCCATTCGAATTGTGTAATTAATTTAAGAAAGAAAGCGCTGCAAATTATTTAATAGTCAATGAATAAAGAATAGCATCCTACATAAATAATTTTCAAGTACCTGTATTTTTTAGAAAAAAATTCATTTTTGACAAAATTATAAACAGTTTGTGTCAATTAACATATTCTTCAGTACTGTAAACATCAGAAAGCAGCTTGTAGTACAATATTAGTGAGACTACCATAGTACACCGTAGCTGCCTCGTACAGACTTTGACTACATTCCGTACGTTCTTAATAATATAAACAGTGTTTTACTTATTTTAAATACATATCAAAAAATGGTATTCTTCTAAAAAAAATATTCGTCATAAAATTTATTCTTCAACAAAAAAAAGGCCAGATAAGCTTGATTCATTTAACTAGTATTTTTTCAGCAATTTCTAAAACCTTTATAAAGTTGCAATAAATTGTACTCGTGAGTCGTTAGCCTTGCAAAGTTCTGAAGTGAAAATCTAAAAGTGGTCAAGTTTTTTTTTGGTTTTTTGGTGCAGTTACTTTTTGTATGACACTTGTAGTACTGTATTTTCTTAAACTTGTTTAGGAACATAGTCAAACTAAGTAACATTGACATTTGACCGGTACAAATGCAAGCCTAACATCAATTACATTAATGCATTGCTATGTCGTAAGTATATAATAACGTAAAAGGACAATATTTTTAATTGAATGTAATGCTTTTGTTAGTATACGAGTACAATATAATTAAATACTACTAGTTTTATGCCAAAAGTAAGCTGAAAAAAAAGCAATCAAAAGTTGACTATTTTTTGATTTTGATTTTAGAACTTTTGCTACGTTTAAGATTAACGAATACAATTCATTGCCATTTTATGAAGGTACTACGAATTCCTTCAAAACAAAGTTAAGTGCATTAAACTTACCTAAACATTTATTTTTGTTAAAAAGTAAATTTTTGTATGGATCCTCACGACTGCTGCTACTACTACTACAACTACTACTACTACTACAACTACTACTACTACTACTACGACTACTACTACTACTACTACTACTACTACTACTACTACTACTACTACTACTACTACTACTACTACTACTACTACTACTACTACTACTACTACTACTACTACTACTACTACTACTACTACTATTACTACTACTACTACTACTACTACTACTACTCGCAGGCCCCACGGATTCTGGGGGGGGGGGAGGCACAAAGCGTGTCTCATGACCATCAGGGACTGCTTAATGTTCCACGGCCCTTTCTAACGAACAAAGGACGAAGAGGAAGCCTGTCGGGCATAGGCACCAACGACACCGAGGACAGCAACGTGTCAGTATTTAGCCACTGCCCTAAAGGAAATAGAACGAAGTAAAAGAAACAGGAGCCCATCGGACAGCCCTGAGAAACGCCAGCAAGCCATGCCTCCAAAGAAAAAGAAAACAGGCAGTGGCAAACAAAAAAAAATTCTCCTGAATGAAAAAACAAGCCAGAAGAAAAAAGTGGATGCGACAATAACAGTAGTCGTGAAGATGGCTGAAGGGCAGACCTTTGCAAAGGTGCTGAGGACGATAAAGGCGAACTTTGACCCTGATAAGGCTAATGTGGCAGTCCAAAGTGTTGTCACTACAAAAAAAGGAGACATACTTATTAAGGCCAAAGGTGTAGAGAATGCTACTGCATTCTCACAGCAAATTCAAAAGTCGGTAGCCGGACAGGGTACTGTCAAAATAAGCAACAAAAAAGTGACATTAGAGGTCCGAGACCTGGATGCTATTGTAGAGGAAGATGAGGTCAAAGAGGCTTTCGTTAGGACTTTTGGACTTAAGAACCAGGAGCCAGAAGTAGCTCTCTTGAAGCCAAATGCCAGAGGACAGAGGCTGGTGTTAATAAAGGGGGACGAAGCAACTGCCAGACAAGTAGAAGAGGAAGGCAGGTTACAAGTTGGCTTCGTAAGCTGCCGAATACGAAGAAGAATTCAAGTAACAAGATGTTACAAATGCCTGGGATATGGACACGTCTCAGGCAACTGTAGAGAAGAAAACAGATCAAAGCTTTGCTTCCGGTGTAGAAGCTCAAACCACCGGAAAAAATAGTGTCCAGGCCCAGCACGGTGCTTCCTTTGCCCAACGATGGAGAACAAGCACGTAGCAGGCAGTGGGAGCTGCCCTTCATTTAAAAAAGCGCTAGAAGAGGCCAGGAGTAAGGCCCCAGCAGGACGAAAATAAGGCAAAAAGGCGTTGAGTTGAAAGGCAGGCTAATGTGGACCCACGATGCGCTGGGTACTTTTTACCTATCAGCAAGGAAGAACATTAAGCTTATAGTGGTGCTTGCTAGGTTAGCGGCCTACTATGGAGCGCTAGAAAGGGTGCTGGTCCTCAGGGACCCCGAGTCCTTTTCAAGACTCAAGAGCATCAGCACCTTTAGCAAATGGTGGCGAGTTAGCTCGTTAATGCTGTGAGACGCGATGGTCTCCCTGGTGGCTCCACCCTGAAGTAATGCTAACGCGGTTCCGGGGTGGATCAAAAGCCACGTGACATAGGGGGGGGGGTTTAGTGGGTATGGGTGGTCTAATAAAAAAAATCCACCGAGTCCCACACTACTGCTGTCCCTATGGTGTGCTTTAATGCATTTTTCCTCCCTCCCCAAAAAAAAACTACTACTACTACTATAGCTGTAAATAACATTTTATTATATTTATATATAAGTTATTTTAACATTTTAACGTTCTCTATGTATAGTCCAGTTTTCGAATTGCATTTAACATGCCTGTGTGGTCAGAAAAAATGTAAAAGCACTACAACGAATCTGAGACTTTCTTTACTTCATGGTCTAGATAGTTACTATACTCATGAAATAAAGTCATAATTGAAGTAAAGATGATCAAGTATTAGGGGTTGCCAGCATTACAGTTGTCAAACAACTCCAAATAACTGACATCAAGATTTATATCAAACCTATCTATGCATAAGGAAATATGTTTTACACATTCGTGTGTCTAGTGATGATTTATTTATAGATCTCGTTAAAAGGCACTATTTGTTTTTAAAAGAGGTATGCAAAAGTTTTTTCAATTTTCTAGTGTATTATATTATTTTATCATGTATATGTAACTATATGCAATATATGTGAAAAAGTAAGGAAATTATTATTTATTACATTTTAAATACCGAGGATAGAAATAATTAATTAGTAAGTTTTTAGTTCTAAGTTCTTAAAAATTTGGTAATGTGAAGATTTTTATATCAAATTAAAGAATAGACTGTGTTATTCAGTTAAATAAAGTTTTCAGAATTTTTTAATGATTAGTTTTTCATAAAAGATGGTTTTACATATGGATATTCATCTCTCAAATTTAGATATGCAACCCCATTATTAACAATATAAAATAATTTAGAAACATGGGTAAACGTTTTCTAAATATGCTGTAACGTTTGAAAGATTGCCACCGCAATTTATGAAAATAGTATTACAGTAGGAAAAAAATTAAAGTTATATAAACAGATATTTTTTTTTTTTTGTCACAATGTTTTTCTTGCTCTGAAAAAAGTTTCCTAGAATTTAAAATTTTACTACATTTTTGTTCTTCCATGATACATTATTTACTCCGTCCTTTACCGGTTATGTCAACGCATTTATAAGTATCCTTTTTGCTGTGATAATTAGTTTTACAAATATTTTTTTGAAACGTTTTGTTTTG